GACCACAGGCGCCCGCCACAACGCCCGGCTATTTTTTGGTTGTAGCCGTCATTGTTGTTTTTGGCGGGTCCGGGCTGGGGACTCGAACCCGCCACCTTAGGTGTACGTGGCTGGCGCCTTAGCCGGCTGAGCTATAGGCGCCGAGCCTCAATATTCTCAATTAATGTGAATGGCTTAAATTGTCCTCTAAAGAGGCACAGGTTGGCTGACTGGTTATAAAAACTCAGGCCAGATATCTGCTGCATATAAGAATCTCATTTTACCTTAAAAGATAAATATAGACTCAGGGTGAAGGAATGGTCATCTATAATTCAGGCAAATGGAAAGGAGAAAAAAGCAGGTGTTGCCATTTTATTCACAGATACAATAGACTTTAAACCAACAAAAGTAAGGAAAGATAAGGATGGTCATTTCATATTAGTTAAGGGTAGCACTCAACATGAGATTTCATGAGATTAACATTTATGTACCCAACCAGAATGCACCTCAATTTATAAGAGAGACTCTAACAAACATGAGCAACTTGATTTCCTCTAGCACCATAAGAGTTGGAGATTTTAACACCCCTTTGGCAGTGTTGGATAGATCTTCCAGTAAGAAACTAAGCAAAGAAATTATGGACTTAAACTTAACCATTCAACAATTGGATTTAACAGACATCTATAGAACATTTCATCCTAAGAAAACTAAATACATATTCTTCTCATCAGCCCATGGAACATCCTCCGAAATTGATCACATCTTAGGTCACAAGTCTAACCTCGGCAAATTTAAAAGAATAGAAATATTTCCTTGTATCTTTTCAGATCATCACAGAATAAAAGTTGAACTCAGTAACAACAGGAATCTGCATACTCATACAAAAACATGGAAGCTAAATAACCTCATGCTGAATGATAGCTGGGTCATAGATGAGATTAAGAAGGAAATTACCAAATTTTTGGAACAAAATGATAATGAAGACATGAATTATCAGAATCTCTGGGATACCACAAAGGCATTCCTAAGAGGGAAATTTATTTTTTATTTTTATTATTTTTTAAAAGTTTAAACAAGTATTTTATTGTAAAGTTTAATCATGGTTCAGAAAAATTTGAACGAATAACTTTCTCTGAAAAAATATATTGACTCTGTAGACTGCAGTTATTTTGGGGAGGAGAGGGACTAGTAAGTTAAATTACCATATTGTGTATTCTGAACATGATATAAAGTCCCATTTCCAGTTTGATTATAAAGATATGCATGCCCCAAATGGCTGAGAATAAATACAACAGGAAAAGCAAAAGCTGTAAAGCTAGGGACATGCAATAGGCTCTAAGAGAAAATCTCAGAAGTACACAAAGTGGGAACAAGAACATTTGACTGGAATTTGAAGTTCTTTCAGTCATCTTCATCTTTTGCTCCATGTTTAAGGATGCGCGTGAACTCAAAATAATTGAAATTTCCCTTTTTGTCAATAGGTGCTTCTCTGTATAGGTCATCCACGTCTTCATCTATAAACTGATCTCCCATGGTTGTCAGCAGCTCTCTCAGGTAATCTTCCTGAATGGTGCCAGTGACTTCTTCTTCAAAGCAAGCAAAAGCATTTCTGATGACTTCTTCTGGATCTGTGCCATTTAACTTCTCACCAAACATGGTGAGGAACATGGTGAAATTGATGGGGCTTGGAGGCTCATTCCTCATGGCGTCCAGATATTCATCAGTTGGATTTTTCCCCAGTGAGGCAAGCATATCATGCAAATCTTCCTTGTCAATGAAACCATCTCTGTTCTGATCAATCATGTTGAAGGCCTCTTTGAATTCCTGAATCTGTGACTGGTCAAACATGGCAAACACGTTGGATATTGCATCCTGAGGGCGCTTCTTGGTGGTCTTGGTCTTTGTCCTTTTACTAGCCATGGTGGTGGTTAAATCCCTGCACAGCCACGAGAATCTGAGTACTTCAATGACACCCTCACTGCCGCTTACACTACCCTTCCGGGAAATTTATAGTGTTGCAAGCCTTCCTCAAAAGAACAGAAAGAGAGAAAGTCAACAACTTAATGGGACCTCTCAAGCAATTGGAAAAGGAAGAACATTCCAACCCAAATCCAGCAGAAGAAAAGAAATAACTAAAATTAAAGCAGAATTAAATGAAATTGAAAACAAAAGTATTATACAACAGATCAATAAATCAAAAAGTTGGTTTTTTGAAAAGGTCAATAAAATAGATAAACCTTTGGCCAACCTAACCAGAAATAAAAGAGTAAAATACCTAATTTCATCAATCAGAAATGATAAAGGCCAAATAATGACAGACTTCTCAGAAATTAAAAAATTAATTAATATTACAAGAAACTATTCTCAGAAGTATGAAAATCTGAAGGAAATAGACCAATATTTGGAAACACACCACCTTCCTAGACTTAGCCAGAAAGAAGTGGAAATGTTGGACAAGTCTATATCAAGTTCTGAAATAGCATCAACTATAAGAAATCTCCCCAAAAAGAAAAGTCCAGGACCAGATGGCTTCACATCAGAATTCTACCAAACCTTTAAAGAGGAACTAATATCTATAATCCTTAACCTTTTCCAGAACATAGAAAAAAAAAGGAATA